CTTCCTCCTCCTCCTCCTCTTCTTCCTCCTCCTTCTCCTCCTCCTCCTCCTCTTCTTCCTCCGCTCCCCCTCTTCCTCCTCCTCCTCTTCTTCCTCCTCCTTCTTCGCCTCTCCTCCTCAGCCTCTACCACCTACCCCCCCCCCACGAGTTGAAATTTACAGGGGGCTGTTATCCTGGCTGGCCAGCCGGCGCGTCGCGCTCGTGCAGCCTAGGCCCCCTCCCCCTTCTTCATCCCCCATCGCCCTGTCCTCCCAAAGAGGAGGGGGATAAGGATGGACAGGAGGAGGAAGAGTCCGGGGGAGCAGAGGGAGGAGGAGAAAGAGGAGGATGAGGAGGAGGAGGAGGAGAAAAAGGAGGAGGAGGAAGAGGAGGAGGAGGAGGAGGAGAAGGAGAAGGAGGAAGAGAAGGAGAAGGAGGATGATGAGGATGAGGAGGAGGATGATGATGATGATGAGGAGGAGGAGGAGGAGGAAGAGAAGGAGGATGAGGAGGATGAGGAGGCGGAGGAGTGAGGAGGAAGGGGGAAGGCAGGAAAAGTAGAGGAGGAGGATGAGGAGGACAACGAGACCTGGGCGAAAATGCATCGACCTGGTGCTGGCTTCGTTTCCGAGGAGGAGGATGCGAAGCGGGGTGAGCAGGAGGAGCAGGAGGAGGAGGAAGGGCGGAAGCGCAGAACGCGGGAGATTAGGAGAGGGATGAAGAGCAGGAGGAGCAGCGGGAGGAGAAGCACCGCGCACAGCGACAAGACAGCCACGACACGCTGTTCTATCTTATTGCGTGTGCTTGTTTTGTCGCGCCCGGCGCGCACGCGGGGGAGCGGCGGCGCCAGGGGAAGTGGCGGCCCTGCCCGGTCGACGGGCTGAACAGCAGCTCGAACACCATCCAGGTGGAGTTGCCCTCCCCCCTCCCCACCTCAGCACTGGGTTCCCTCCTCCCTCCCTCCCTCCATCCTCCTTCTCCTCCCTCTCCTCCCTCCCTCCTTCTCCTCCTTCTCTTCCCCCCCTCCTCCCTCATCCATCCTTCCTCCTCTGTTCCCTCCTTCTCCTTCTGCCCATTCCTCCTCCTCCTCTTCCTCCTCCGTCGCCTTCGTCGTCGTCATCGTCGTCTCCTGCTCATTTCCTTTCCTGTATCTAACTCCGCACTGTCGCATCCCGAGGCTGGTCGAGAGGGCGGAACGGGCGTTTCGCCAAAGAAATCCTCACAACAAATGATTTTGAAGCTGTGCAACAGTTTCACGGATGGAGGGCGGCCCGCTTTCACAATGTGGCTCTCGCCTTAGCGCCGCGCACATTCATTCGTGTTGCACATTCCAAGAGCTTCACGAACGGAGTGCGGATGTTTTCAAAAACGTGGCTCCCGCCTTCGCGCCGCACGTATTCGCTTCAAACATTAACACACGTAAATTTCTCGGATGGAGGGCCGTTCCTTTTTAACATGTGGCTCTCGCCTTAGCGCCGCGCGCATTCGTCGTCGAAGTTTGCAAGAATTTTACATATGGAGGGCAATTCCTTGTCAACATGTGGCTCTCGCCCTAGCGCCGCGCACATGTGTCTAAGAGGTTGACGCAGTTTCAAAGATTCTCATGGTTAACGCACCAGAAATGGTGTCTTGGCACAATGTCAAGGCGCAAGAGTCACGTTGATTCGCGGTGCTGAAGTCCCAGGAATGGCGTTCTGGTACGATTCAATATCGCCAAGACGCAGCAGTGATGGTGATTCGCCGCGTTGAGGAAAGGGAAGAAGCCGTTCAGATCTCGCTCGCCTGTGAGGATAAGTCGAAAATCTCTGGGATCTGGCGGCCCTGACGGAGGTCTCAGGCGCCGCTGCCTGCTCAGAGTGTCCCAGAGCGCTCTGAGAGAATTCTAGAACACTCTGGAACGGATTTGTCCTCGTCCTAGCCCCGTCCGATCCTGGACCCCAGGGCCTTCCCCCAATGACCAGCTCTTCATCCTGGGCCGTGTCTGGCAGTCCTGGGGCCCGTGGAAGGCGTTCCATCAGCCTCCCCTCCGAGACCTCTTGCCGCGAAAACCCGAGAACAGTGCCTGAAACCTCCAGGGATTAGGTCGGACATGTCCTCCTACAGGCGGATTCGGGAATAATAAGGAAAAGTGAGAGAGACATAATGAACAATAGAAGCCACTAATCAAAGGAACACGACGAATCGTCACCAGCCTATTTCTTCAACCATTCTTGAATTTTCCTCCTGTAGAGTTGAGCAGGGACCGACCGTCCCGGCATTCTTCTAGTCCTACCACGAAATGTTCTTAGAACCCAGAAATGTTCTAATAGCAAAAACAGTGTTCTTAGAGCTTAAGCCTGACGTGTCAAAACAGGACAGCCCCAGCCAGAAATGTTCTACGAACATTTCCTTGAAGCCACAAGAGGTTCTCAGAACATTCCTCGGCAGGGCTACAGTCATCGGCCTGACCCAGGGAACGATACATAAGGAACGAAGCCCCTAGTTGTTCCAAGTGAGTCTACGAAGTCCGAAGGAACACCAGGGGGGCTCGCCGCCAAAAAGGTAGCAGAACGCATGCAAACCTAAGGAACGACCGAGCCCCTTTTGAAAAGGAAGTGTTCCTCATTCAGGCCGCTCACTGTATAGGCGAGCCGGGACGCCTCGCCACTGCTCGATGGAGGGGCCTGCCCGACCTAAACCTCCGAGGGCCTCCACGCGCGGCCAAGGGTGCAGCGTCCCCGCCCGCCGGGAGAGCGGATGGGGGCGGCGCAGGGGCCCGTCGGGAGCGCGGCGGCGCCCAGAGCACGAGAGCTCCGTGTGGGCGGGTGCCCCCCCGCTGGGGGGCCGCATGCGAACCCTACTTTAGTAGTGGAAACAATTGGTTTTCAAAATGTTTGGTCTTTCGAAGCTCTGCGTGGCGACGCCCCCGTCGCCACGCGTGCCCTCTGCGTGCCTGCGGGGGCGCCGCCACGTAGAAGCACTGGAGACCGAGCATTTGGGGCGTCGCTACGCACGCCCTCTGCGTGGCTGCGACCATTTGTAAACCCTGAAACCAATTCAATTCAATATTAAAGTACCCCTACCCCCCACGATTTCTGAGGGGGGGGTAGGGGTAGGGTTCGCATGCGGCCCCCTACCCGCGGGTTGGGACGGCCGCGAGCGCCAAAATCGGGCCGGGCGAAAGTGTGGATGCCCGGAATGGGTACGGAAAAAATGGGCATAATGCCCATCCACAAACGTTGTCCCAAACCATCAGCGGCCGCTGTTGGGCAGGCGGCCTTCTGTCTCAAATGTACGCAGGCCGCGGCGACACCGACAGCGAGCCCTGTTCAAAATGAGCAGGAACCGCTGTTGGGCGTTGTACCCATTCTTTTCGAATCCATGTCGCTCGTGCCGAAAAAGGGGGGGGGATAGCAAAGGGGGGGGTTTGAGGATCGGCTCACGTAGCTAACTTCCCCGGCGCCTCCCAGCGCCCGAGGCGGCTATGTAGCGAGGAGTGGGCCCGGCGGCGGGGCCGACACCAGCTGCATGCAACAGATTTCGTATTCCCCCCTTTCCCAATCCCCCCCTTTCGTCCGGCCCGACCAAGGAGCCGAAAGGGAGGAGGGGATCGCCGTTGAGGCTTGATCTCGCCCAGAGCCGTTTTTTTGCCGAGACTACGACGACAAGCTAGGAGGTTCGTACGTCTACGAAGCAGAGTCTACGTACTGTTCGTCGACTCGCCGAACAATAAGAAACACTGCTGGGGTAGAGCCGCTCTGTGGCCCGCACCCTGCTCGAAGAGAACAGGGAGGAGGGTTTAGTCGGGCGTGTCCCCCTGCAGGAGGATTTTCGACGAAGCATACGAAAGATTCGAACAATAATCCCAAATTGTCAAACAATACCCCAAACATATTCCCCAGACTATTTTTGGACTATTTGTGAATTTCCCCCCTGTAGAGGGACAGGCCCGACTTAAGATGAGGGATGCGGTGTGGGCCCGAGGGCCATCCTCGAGCCTCGACCCGCGGCCCCCCCGCGCCAGGAGCCACAGCACGACCGCCACGCCGTGCACCCTCAGCACGGCCGTGTCGGTCCCTGGCGGCGCGCCGCGGTCGGCCCGCTCTGCTCCGCTTACTGCCGGGCCATATCCTCCTGCAGGCGGACTCCGGAAGAAAACAAACAGCACTGGCCCAGACAGACGTCAGGCATGGCAAAGACTAGTCGGCACCACTCGTCCCCTGTACTGTTCCTGAAGCTGTTCCCGAATCCAGGAGACCCCAGAACCGAATCGATAAGTCGGATCGGCGATCGAAATGGATCGGATCGGCGAAGATCGGCAGCCGAGTCGGGAGAAGTCGAATCGGCAGAACTCGGCAGGCTAGTAGGCCTCCGTCGAGGAATCGGAATCCGAATCGGAATCCGAAGTCGAATCGCATCGGAATCGGAGGCCATCGGAATCGGATCGAATCGGATCGGAGGAATCGAAAGAGCCCTGCAAATCTGCCTCCAGTAATACCCTAAAGCCCTAATACCCTAAAACCCTAAAACCCTAAAACCAATTAAAACCCTGCCTCCCTGCCGAGGCTGCGACCATGTGTTAAAACCCTAAAACCAATTAAATTCACGAATATAGTACTCAGAAGGACGTGCCCGGCGGAATGCTCCGCGGCGCTGTGCGGCTGGCGCTCCCCGGCGCGGCGCTTCTCCGTGGTTGTTTGGGGGGGGGGGGGGGGGGCTCGGGCGGGCCCGTCTCCGCGGCGCGGGGCCCCTCCTCCTCCTCCTCTCCTCCTCCTCCTCCTGCTCCTCCTCCTCCTCGCTTCCTCCTCCTCCTCCTCTCTCCTCCTCCTCCTCCTCCTCCTCCTCCTCGGCGCGGCGTTTTTCCGTGGTTGGGGGGGGGGGGGGCTCGGGCGGGGCCTGTCTCCGCGGCGCGGGGCCGCGCCGCCGACTCGGGCGCGACTTAACAGGGGGGTCATCAACGGGGTGGTCAGAAGCGGTCCCCTTTCGGGCCCCTCCGGAGCCCCAGGGGGGCTCGTTTGGGTACCTTTTGGGGTACCTTTTCGGACCACCCTCGCCACTCTCCCATTTACGACCCCCCCCTTACGCGACGCCGTGGAGACCTCTCCCGGGCGGGGGTCGAGTCCCCGTGGGCCCTGGGGCACGCGCGCGGGGAGCCGGCGGTGCTCAGAAGCGGGGAGCCACGGGTCTGGGAGCACAGTCCACCCGTGTACTGAGGATGCACCGTGAGGGTGCGAGGGCCCTGGGAGGCCACTCCGAAGCTGTTCGAGCGGGGCGCAGCCGCCAACGAGTGGCCGAGGGTGGGCCGAGGAGGCGAGGATGCAGGGGTACCCTTGGGAAGGGTGCCCATCCTTACTATGCGGGTTGAGTGCGAAACTGGGGCCAGAGGAATGGAGACATGGCGACGGAGACGGGCAACAGAGCGGAGCCAGAACCAGCCACAATAAGTGCAAGGCGGAGCCTGCTAAAACTGGCCCTGTCGTTTCCAAGTTCCTCTCGGAGGTGGGCAAACTTGCCTTCAGTAAGCCTCCTCTTAGTGAAAACGGCCTGGGACCGAAAGCGACGGACCTGGCCCCGCAAAAACGACGGCCGCGACGCCCTCTCGCGAACCGAAAACGGCCAATTCCTTAATCGACGTGTCAGGGTAGGAGGTCTACTCCAGATCTCGTAATAAAGGGAGGGGGGTCTCATTTCGGGGGGGGGTCTCTTCCAGGCTATCTTGGAGGGCCTGGGGGGTCTGGGGACGATGTTTTGGAGGGTTCTCCCACGGGGGGGGGGTCTGAAATGGCTCGTCTTGGAGGGTCCAGACCCCCTCCCTTTTATTACGAAATCTGGAGTATCCACCTCCGATCCCTTTGAGGTCAGAGCAGATGGGGTCGGAGCATCGCGCCGCATCGCCGATGCTCGACCTGCGGCCCCGTCGCGCCAGGAGCCGCAGCACGACCGCCACGCCGTGTATCTTCAGCGCGGCGGTGCGTCGGATTCACGTCGGATCCACGTCAGAGAATCAGTAACAGGGGGAAAACACACCTACCTCGCTTTCGACCACCCTCGCTTCCAAGAGATACCAAACGATGCCAAATTGCAGCCTGTACTGGTCAGGCCGCTTGACGAGGAGGCGCGTGGTATGGCTTGGTTTTGCCTGGAAGCGAAAGCGGGGTAGGTAATTCACGCTCTGAAGTAAGTCGGATCCACGTCGGACCCACGTCGCTTTTACGTCGGACTCGCGTGATATCGGTTCACCTCTTCACATCGCCGCGCGAACGGCGTCCCAGATCTGATGGGGCGGACGTTTGGACGTGATTGTTCAACTATTGCGCGCCGTGCGAAGCTTCCAGGATTCTCCTCATAGAAGAATTCCGGGGACGAGGGGCTTCTGATGGTGAAGAGAGGGAGGGGCTTCGAGGGAGGAGGGAGGACTGTATTGGACCGGAGCTCTGGCAATCCAACTGATCTCACCGCCAACGGATGGGCCTGACTTCGCAAGCAACACTGCCGAGCAGCCGAAGGATTCCGAGACGAGCCATCTGCCATCACCTGACGCTCAGACCAGCACCGCCCTCTGCAGAGGCAGCGCTGGCCCTGGCCACGCTCCAGCACGCGGGCACGCAGCCCTGCTGGATGGAGGAGGAGGAGGAGGAGGAGGAGGAGGAGGAGGAGGAGGAGGAGGAGGAGGAGGAGGAGGAGGAGGAGGAGGAGGAGGAGGAGGAGGAGGAGGAGGAGGAGGGAGGAGGAGGAGGAGGAGTTGGAGGAGAGGAGGAGGAGGAGGAGGAGGAGGAGGGAGGAGGAGGAGGAGGGGGGGAGGGGGAGGAGGAGGAGGAGGAGGAGGAGAGGAGGAGGAGGAGGAGGAGGAGGAGGAGGAGGAGGAGGAGGAGGAGGAGGAGGAGGAGGAGGAGGAGAAGGAGGAGGAGGAGGAGGCACGGGGCGACTCTCCCCCCCTCTCCAGAGACCCCCCCGACGCCCGACCGCGAAACACTGGCGGGAGGAGGGGGGCGAGGAAGGCGTTGAAGCGGGAGGAGGGGGGAGGAGGGAGGCGGGGAACGGGGAGGAGGAACAGGAGAAGAGAAGAGAAAAAGAGAGAGAGAAAGAGAGAGAAGAGAGACAAGCTGGGTGCGTTCGCGCCACATCCGACATCCCCTCCCGCCCTCCCATCCCTTCCCAGTGCGCTGGTTTTCTCTGCTCGCGGACGCGTGCCGTAGCCAACCTGGCACGCCATCAGAAAGATCCAACCGTGCTATCCGCAATTGGAGAAGAGGAGCTGCGTACGGCAAGTTCGTGTCGTGACGACCCCGGCGTTGGTTTCTGACACTGCGTGAATCGTTCAACCTTGAACGATCGGCGGCTTTTCGACCGCCCGATCGTTCCATATAAGCCGATTCTGGGCCACTGGCGGCGGTCAACCTTGAACGCCCTCGGCGGGGTCGCCGCCAGTCGACACGACGCGAACCTACCGTACGTAGGAGGTAGCGGTTGAGCAGGATGGTGAGTCGGAGGAAGGGGAGGAGGATGTGGAAGGAGGAGGAGGACGACGACTAACAGCAGCAACAGGAACTGGAGTGGAAGGAGCGGGAGGAGCAGGAGGAGCAGGGGGAAGACGGAGGAGGGGAATTGAAGGGGGCGACAGGAACGTAAACGGGCCCAGATTCAGAAAAGCGGCCCACGCTGTGGCGAGAGTGCCATTCGGAACGACGGGAGCAGAGCGCCGGTGCAAAGATGGACCCCACGCTGCAGCGGGAGCACCATTCTGAAACCCCGAGAACAGGCGGATTGCAAGCAGACGCGTAAGAAAAACAACTGCAACACATGACACCCGGTGCAACAGAAAACAAGTACAGGGAGAGGGCCGGAGACCTTCCCGGCAGAGTCACGCCAGAGAGGAGAGCACTAGCTAGAACGTGCAAATGGAGGAGGGGGAGGAGGAGGAGGAGGGGGAGGAGGAGGAGGAGGAGGAGGAGGAGGAGGAGGAGGAGGAGGAGGAGGAGGAGGAGGAGGAGGAGGAGGTAGCGCTATGTTCTCGCGCGCGCGCCATATCTGACATCCGACCCCCCGCCCATCCCTTCCCAAAAAGCGTTGGCTCTTCCCTCTGTCCGCCGACGGGTGTCATAGCGGACCTGGCATCCCCCAGAGGGCCCCATCGTGCTGCGCGCAGGCAGAACAAACTGCCTCAGACGTGCTCGTACACGAACTTGTCCGCCAAGCTCGCCCACGTCTCCGCGTTGCAAGCGTGCGTAGTCCAGTCCCCATGAGGTCAACGCGACAGCGGGGGGACACAATGAACAAACAACCCAAACGTCCCGAACACCAGAAACAATACGAAACACCACATTTTGTCATCCTGCGCGCAAGGACAGCATGCGGGAGAGATGGCGCCCCGCTCGCACAGAATCCGGGTAGAGAGGATGTCGAACGGCTGCGGAGGGGGAGGGAAGGGAGGAGGCACTGAGGGAGGAGGGTCGGAGGGATGGGGGTAGGATGGAGGGAGGGGGGACAGTAGGAGGGAGGATGGTAGGAGGGTGGAGGAGGCAGTGAGACAGCCGAAACAAGGTCACGAGAACGTGGATCAAGAGCCTTGGCCACTTCGCCGAGAGTCCGAAACCCCATGGGGATATCCCAAACGGAGGGCACTCCACGGTGGAGAGAGCCCAACGGCGAAGAACATGAGCGTACCCCTCCAAGACTACGCTGGTTCTTAACCCTTGCGCCAGCTGCAGGAGGAAGAGGGGGAAAAGCCATCCTCCATCGGTGTGCACGTGGCTCCTCTCTGCCGCGCCACTAGACGTGCTGTCAGGGCGGGCCGGGCGCCCATGGCATCTGTAACCTCAGGGCGTAATGTCTCCGGCAATTATGAAGGGGCCCTGGGACACACGCATAAATACACACAAATAACAGGATTCCCCATATTTCCCCATATGTTCTGGGTTTGTGTCTTCCCCCCCACTTCCCATATTTTCCCATATTTTCCTGGGAGTCGACGATTAATTGTGTCTGTGTGTTTCTTTTCCTCCTGAAATTCAGCGGACGTAGGGCGGGCAGCTTCTAAAAAATCGCCCTATGGCTACAGCCTTCAGCAGAATGATTGTCCTGACGCGTGCGGCACCCAAGCGTTGCGCGGATGGAGGGCCCCTCGTCCTCAAACTCGGTGTCTCGAACGGGATCTTTACACGAGTGATGATCGTAAAACGTGCGTCCTGCAATAAGTTTCCAAGTTCATGTGACATTGCCCTGTGCCTGAGACCACGACTGACCGTGCGGGGACGGAGCCCCATCGTCTATGGACGTAGGGAGCCAAGGATCCCCCCTCCTCCTCCTCCTTGCCTCCTCCTCCTTTGCTCCTCCTCCTCCTCCTCCTCGTCCTCCTCCTCCTCCTCCTCCTTTGCTCCTCCACCTCCTCCTCCTCCTCCTCCTCCTCCGCCTCTTCCGCCCTCCTTGCCGCCTCCTCCATCATACCCCCCCCCTCCTCCTCCTCCTCCTCCTCCTCCTCCTCTTCCTCCTCCTCCTCGTCCTCCTCCTCTTCCGCCCTCCTTCGCGCCTCCTCCATCTTACCCCCCCCCCCCTCTCCTGCGGTCAGGAACGTGCCGCCGCGGCGGCCCCGGCGGCTGGCTGCGCCCTGCAGGACGACAGGGCGTGCCGCTCCGCTCCGCGGGGCGCCCCCCCCTCTTGAGGGCCCCGGGGCCCCGTGACGGGCCCAGGGGGCCGAACTCGAGAGAGAGAGAGAGAGGGAGAGAGAGAACACAAAATCCTCCTCCTCCTCCTCCTCCTCCTCCTCCTCCTCCTCCTCCTCCTCCTCCTCCCACTCCTAGCCCTTTCGGTCAGGGTCGGCGGCACCGGCCGTCAGGCCTCTCCGATCGAGGCTGGACGAACAATCGTCGGAGATCTGGGTTCGTGCTCGCGTTCGCGGCCGCCACCGCCGGCACGGCGGTCGTCGGCGCCGCCGCCGCCAGGCGGGGCGCGCGGGCCCCATCGGAAGAGCAGCGCGTGCGTCTCCAGGCAGATGGCGGCCAACGCGGCGGGGAAGGACACCTGCCGGGTCGCGAAGAGAGAGGAAGAGGGAGGAGGAGGAGGAGGAGGAGGAGGAGGAGGAGGAGGAGGAGGAGGAGGAGGAGGAGGAGGAGGAGGAGGAGGAGGAGGAGAAGGAGCCCAGCGTAGGGGGGCGAGGAGGAGGAGGAGGAGGAAGAGGAGGAAGAGGACAAGGAGGACGAAGGTGCGAGCGCAAATCCCGCTCCGAGCGCTCGCCCTGAGCGCCTCATAAGAAGGTCGGCGGTGGGGCCATAGCCCCTCAGGGTGCATCAGCCCATCGTTTTCGAGGTCCGTGAGGACGTCGTGTTGCGAACTGACAGACTTGTGGGTTCCAGTGATCAACTTTGTAACTCCATCGATCCACGCTGTCATTCGAGGACCTCCTGAACATATTCTATTTTCGTTTTCGGGTATTCACCCAATGCTCATAACCTAAATTTGTGAACGCTTGCTCTCAACTGTGTGTAGTGCGTCGGACCACCCACGACTCCAGGCCGAATCCGTTGTCCTTCGTGCTGTTGTCACTGGTGTTGGTTGTTCGTCTGCGTGGCAAGACCAGCATAATGCGTAGCGTCCGGCGTTGGGTTGACATCACAAATTTCTCCACTGCAGCAGTCCTCGTCAATGATGCACATCCGTATTATCTTGTAAACGTCACGGTGCCTTCGAAAAATCCGAATATGTCGCGTAACGGGTGCGACCGGCATAGCAGTTCTTGTTCTAATAACCAAAACTTCTTCCAAGCGGCTCGGATACGCGCGTCTAATTCCACTTCCACTTAACTGCAGAGAGTGAGCTACCAACCCACATGCTTCTGCGTTTCTATGTATCCCAATGTTTCAATGTCGCACTTCCTAGCCTTTGTGCGTCCTGGGCTTCTGTTCGGCCGTCGGGTTCCCATGTCTTGCGAAGCTTGTCTTCTGTGGTCCGTCTAGCAACTTCCATGATATCCTTTAGCATCCAGCGCACCTGCGTCAAACAAGTCCCAATCAGTGCCACATCGTCGGCAAGGCTTTCAAATAACCCACCCGCATCTTCTGAACAACGCAGACATGTATCACATAAATCAGGTTTTCCGAGGTGGTCCAGCATTAATTGAGCATCTCTTCAGACAAACAATTGAGGCGCCGAGAGCTGAGCGGGTCGCCCTGCTTTCTCCTGCTTTCCGCAAATGTATATATTCTCATTGGCCGTCTGGGCGCAACACAAGTTCGACATAACGGCTATGTATGGTGAATGGGGCGCCCTGCGAAGAGATAGCTGCCCGATTGTCTGACGTCCGACGTAGCGGTCCACACAGGGAGTTGCCATTCCCATGCTTTCCCCTTGCAACATCACCAGCGTGAGCAGATGACCATCGGTGCTGTAGTGCTTCAGGAAATCAGCCTGTCCTGGTGATAGATGACGTTCCAACATGGGTTCGAGTCGACTGTAAAGCATGCGCGAAAACAACTTGCACAACAAAAGGATGGTGGAAATCGGGCGGTCATCTTTCGGCATGCGCGGATCTCCAGATTCGAATAGAACTCTCAAATTCGCCAGCTTGCACGCTGATGGCACGGTGGATCCAGGCTTGATGACGCTATTGTAAAGACTCAGGAGCGCAATCTCCAAGTTGAGGCCGCTCAGCTTGTCGCCGCGCGCCCTGCGGTAGAACATCGTCGTTGCATGCGTGCAAAAACCCATGAACCCTGGCAAATGCATCCGCCATCTCGCGTCTGTCGTGGGTCGCTGTCCTGCTCCGGGTGCGCATCGATTGAAGCAGGTTTTTTTTGTTGTTAAAAAATGACACTGGCGATCTTCTGCAACCCAGAGATCTTCGAGAATGCGCGATTCGTAAAACGTGTAGCCCGTTGTGTGCTGGACATGTGTTGTTTGATCATCTTGCTGACGTCTCTGCGTTCCTGGGCAGTGCTGTTTAGTAATGCCCTGCGGCGTTCAAAGTCTGGCAAGAACTGGGTCGTCAGCTGGACTACCAACAGAACGTCTTTGTCGGTCGTGGCTGGCTGCCTCCATGGCTTCCCGAATTGAAGCTTCAACCTTGCATGCTTTCTTGTCTTTGCCGCTGGCCTCAAGGTTCCAGCGCCTAGGCGCATTGCTCCAAATAGTCAACGTAAGATCAAATACCATGTGGTGGACAAAGTCGTGCTCTTGCAGCGTTACGTGTCGACGACTCCCTTTTCCTCGTGATGGACCTGGGCGGCTGTGTCAGTGTATAGCGCTGCGCAGCTTCACCGCCACATGGTCGGATCAAATATCAATTGCCACCGTTCTGCAGCAACCGGCCTCTGTGCGCCACAAGCCCCTTGATACCATGATGTGATCCAACTGTTTGGGTCCCCATGTGTTTCGTTGTCACGGGTATGTAAATTATGCTCTTGTGTTTGAAACATTGTATTCGTAATCAGAAGGTTTCGCCCTCCGCTCATTGTTTCAACCATCGTTCGTCCCCGGTGTTCTCATTCCCATGTACGCGTTTTTCGCATATCCGTCTGTTGTAGTAGTCCGAATCTGGACCCACTTGTGCATTGCAGTCTGCGCAAATGGCCGCATGCAACTTGTACGCTTTCTGGCATTCCGTAAGGTCTTGGAGAGCACGTCATACGTGGTCTGGATGTGAGTGTCGCTGTATTATTATGTAGGAAGTATGCTGGTATTAATGTTGCCCACAAGCGCTTCGAGACGTCGACGTAGGTAACCTTGTCACTCATGTGGCAACACATTCGTACAGATCTCGCCCATCCTGCATGGATGAGAATGTCAACACCATGTCTATAGGCACTTCCCTCGGATCCTGCATGAACGTGCCCATCTTCGAATGTCCACTTTTCGTCTCGGATTGGCCGCATGTTTTCGTTCAGTAAAACCATATCCCCATGAATGCCAGCCAATTCACCAAACCGTTCTGCAAATCGCTCGTCGCAAGGAAGCCTCCCCCCTCACATCCTCGCGCGTGACAGCGAATCGTGGATCGATCGGAGGTGGAGGAGCAGGGATGGGGAAAGAGGAGGGAGGAAAGAGGGAACGAGGGAGCAGAGGAGGTGGAGGAGGGAGTGGGAAGAGGAGGAGGTGGAGGCTCGCTGCGACGGATCGGTCCACCTCGAGAACCTGCGCGCTCTGGGGGCGGGCCGGGTGTGGAGGGGTACCCAGACGTCCGACGCCTCGAACGCATCAAAGCGTCCGGGGGCCCTCGCCGGGCCCCAGGGCCGTCAAAACCATCTGGGACGAAAACGAGGTGCCTTCCCTGGGAGGTGGTCCAGATCTCCGGGGGCCCCGTAGTGAAAAAAGCAAGACGTCGGAGGCCTGGGCAGGGGGCGTCCTTACACGTCCAGTACATGAAGGCTGGCCGAAGACGATAAAGATGATACGCAGGACAATGACACGGAGGATAATGCTACGTAGGAGGAGGCTACGGAGAAGGAGGAGGAGGAGGAGGAGGAGGAGGAGGAGGAGAACGAGGACGAGGATGATGATGAGGAGGAGGAAGAAACGGGGGAGGCAGGCTCGGAACTATGAGGAGGGTAGGAGGATACTCTCGTAAGGCCTACCAGCCTGGCATCTACCCAGCGACCTCTTTGGGACATGCAATGACGGGCCTGAGCAACACACGACTGGAGGTCGCACCACCGTAATCGATTCGCGGGGCCGGAGCGCTTCACTCCGAGTCGAACCCTGGGCCCCGGCCATGTTGGGCACACCGGCTGGAAGGTGGCTCTGGGCCCGAGAAAGAGAGAGAGAGAGAGAGAGAGAAGGAGAGAGCGAGCGAGAGAAGGAGAGAGAGAGTGAGAGAGAGCGAGACCGAGAGAGCGAGAGGGAGAGAGAGAGAGCGAGAGAGCGAGAAAGCGAGAAATAGAGAGAGAGAGAGAGAGAGAGCGAGAGAGCGAGAGAGCGAGAGAGAAAGCGAGAGAACCTCCTCAGCTCGTCGCCCCACCGACGGGCGAGCACTCGAGGCCCCCTCTCGGGGCCGTGGCGCTCTCCGAAAAGCGAGTCGGCTGGCGCTGGGCCTTGAAATCTGTTGGCCGATCCCGATCGGGACAATAATGCCCCCCGAACAACCTTCTCCTCTTTCTCCTCCTCCTCCTCCTCTTTCTCCTCCTCCTCCTCCTCCTCCTCCTCCTCCCTCCTCCCTCCTCCTCCTCCTCCTCCTCCTCCTCCTCCTCCTCCCGCTCCTCCTCGCCCCCTCCTCCTCCTCCTCCTCCTCCTCCTCCTCCTCCTCCTCCTCCTCCTCCTCCTCCTCCTCATCTTGCACGGCCTCCGTCTCCGCCCACTTCGTCGCCGACGTCGTGGTCCTCTTCATGGTCGGCGGCACCGGCCGTCAGGCCTTCGCGATAATTGTGTTTACCAATCCCGATCGGGACAGTAATGCCCCCCGAACAACTTGCTCACCCGATTTCACCTCTTGGCGCCATGCAGGATGAGTGGAATGCTGTCCTCGTAGAGACGGCTGCTACCAAGCTGGAAGCTTCGGATTCAAGGATCAACGCTGGAGTGGCCTCCGAGGTAGAGGGAGTGCGCGCGTATGGTTCCCCTGTCCGTCTCACGCTCGCAAGGTGTGGCAGGCGTGGCACTTCCTCTCGCAAGGCGGGGCAGGCGTGGCCTTTCCTAAACGCCACACGGGGTGCGCAAAGGATCGTTCCCCCAGCCGCTTCACGCTCGCAAGGAACGGCAGGCGTGCCATGTCCTCGACACCAGAGGGGGTGCGCAGGGGATGGCACCCTGATGCGTCTCACGCTCGCAGGGCGTGGCAAGCGCGGCATCTCCTCGCCTCCACAGGGGGTGCGCAAGAGGTGGCTCCTCCCTCCGCTTCACGCTCGCAGGGCGCGGCAGGCATGGCACAGCCTCGCGCGTTCTGGAGGCGTGCTCGTAAGATACCGAAGCGCAGCAATTATCAAATTGGTATGTTGTGTCCTCCAGTGGCACAACTACTTGGAGTGCGCGTCCCCAGAGGCCCACCGAGGAGCAACGGACAAACCCACACCGCCGGAGATCTGGGCCCTTCCCCTCATCCGCCGGCGCCGGCCCCCCTCCCCGAAGGCCTCCCAGACGGGGTCCGAGCAGATGGTGTTGGAGGGTCGCGCCGCGTCCTACCCCCCCACGCATTGGGCCCCACGTCTAGCCGCATCGCCAACGCACCCGTCGGCCATGCGGCGCGACCCTCCCAATCCCATCAGGCCGGGCCCCATCTTTGAGAGGGCAGAAGAACCACCCTCATGAGAAGCACCCCGCCGAGCGAAGTCGTTTAGTAAAGGCGCCCAATGAAGGAACCGAACAGGCCTGTTTAGTAAACGCTGAGGGAGGGCCCCTTAGTAAACGCCAGTTGCGGTCGAGAACGTTTGCTTAGCGTGTTGCCGCGGCGGCCCTGGCGACTCGCTATGCCCTGCAAGCGGGTAGCATGCCGCTCCGCTCCGCGGGACGGGAGCCTCGGAAAGGCTCGGGACTTTGACGCCTCGAGACCAGAACGCGGATAACGTGCCGCGCCGAAGCCGTGTGGGCCAGAGCCGGCGGAGCGGCGCGTCATCCCAAAGTCCCCGATTGTAGCAAGCGCCATCTACGGGGGGCGGGGTGGTCTTTCCCTCCTTGACACCTGGGAGGCCCGGGCGACTCCCACCCCCCTCTGGCCATCGCTCGGACGCCCATTCCACGTGCATCTTTCGATCCCGTGCGCGCCGTTGTGGCCAGATGGTCCAAGGCCCTCTCCTCCTCCTCCTCCTCCTCCTCCTCCTCCTCCTCCTCCTCCTCCTCCTCCTCCTCCTCCTCGATGGTCCTCGCCGAGAAAGAAAGCGCCCGTCCGAGCGATGCCGAGATCCCCCCCCCTTTGGTGCTCGCCGCCGCCGGACGCCTCGGGCAGCAGCAGGCACCAGCCCGCATCCTCTCGGGGGCTGCCCGGGGGGGTGGGGGGGCACGCCCCGCTGTTTCGCTCTGGCCCTGGGGAGCAGGAGAGAGGAAGGATACTCCAGATTTCGTAATAAAGGGAGGGGGGTCTAATTCTGGGGGGGTGTCTTTTCCAGGCTATCTTGGAGGGCCTGGGGGGGTCTGGGGATGATGTTTTGGAGGGTTCTCCCACGGGGGAGGTCTGAAATGGCTTGTCTTGGAGGGTCCAGACCCCCTCCCTTTCATTACGAAATCTGGAGTAAGCAGGAGGAGGCGCAGAGGCAACGCAGGCAGAGGATGAGCAGGAGCAGGTGCGGTCGGAGTCGGAGTCGAGGCGGAAGAGGATGAGCAAGACGACGGCGACAAGGACGACGATGATGAATGGGGATGATGGTGCTGATGATGATGGTGATGGTGATGATTAAATGGATGATGCGGATGATCGAATGAAGATGGAGATGAACATGCTAATGACGATGAATCTGACGATTCTGCTGATGATGGCGAGGATTATGTTGAGGATGGTACGGTGATGGTAAGCGGATGTTGCTGATGATGATGAATATGACGGTTATGCTGGTGATGGTCATGCTGATGCTGATGATAGTGATTATGTTTATGATGATGATGATGCTGAACATGATCATGAACATGAGCATGCTTACACGTAGCTCGGGGCACCACGGTCATGTCTCACACCCCGAGAGAGCGAGCAGCTGCTGAGAGCACTCCGATGTGATCGGGATATGACATGGGCCATGCTGATGATCATGATGATGATCACGCTGAAGGTGGTAACCATGCTACAGATGACGATGATGAAAACATATGATGATAATGGTGAGGAAGAGGCTGATTATTATGCTGATGTTTGTGATGGTGATGATGATGCTAGTGATGCTGCTGCTGAGGATGCTGATGATGATGATTATGATGATGATGATGATGATGATGATGATGATGATGATGATGATGCTGATGCTGATGCTGATATGATGATGCTGATGCTGCTGCTGATGATGATGATGATGATGATGCCGCTGACCATGATTATGATGAAGATGATGATGATGATGATGATGATGATGATGATGATGATGATGATGGTGATGATGATGATGATGATGATGATGCTGATGCTGATGCTGATGCTGATGATGATGATGATGATGATGATGATGATGATGATGATGATGATGGAGAGGATGGAGGATGAGGATGAGGATGATGAGGAGGCCGATAATGAGACGCAGCGTGCCAGTTTCTTTTTGGACGGGGGGGGAGGCGACGCGTGCCAGATGAAGATGATGGAGGAGGAGGAGGAGGAGGAGGAGGAGGAGGAGGAGGAGGAGGAGGAGGAGGATATAAGCAGGAGGAGAGCCAGGAGGAGGAGGAGCAACCGCAGGAGGGGTCTTCAGCCCTCATCCCTCCTACTCCTCATCACCATCACCGTCGCTGTCGTCATCACTATCACCATCAATGTCACAAGCGTACCCATCCAACCCGCGCTCCTTCAACCCCTCTCCTCTTTCAGCTCCTCCCTGCTCTTCATCACGTTCCTCCTGCGCTTCTCCGGCCCCTCTTTTAGGGGCATCGTCAGGGGAAGGGGGGGGTGGGACCAACTCAGGTGGGGGAAACATTGACCTCACATCGGATATACATCGCCGAGATATAAGCGAATGGCCCCCGAGAACAAATCCGGGCGTTACTGGACGGGGTGGGCGATCGGGTCTTCCACCAGCTTCCAGACCCTGGATTCCTCATCCAAGGGTTCCTCATCCAGCGCCCCCCACATATCATACGTCCCCCCCAAAGGTGCCCCTGACTCTCCCTCCTGCCCCTCCTGTCGCCGCAGCCCTGCGGATCCCCCCAAGGGCGGCTGCTGCCGCCCCGGGTCGCGCGGCGGTGACCCCGCTGACCATCGGAGAGAGTCCTGGCATCGTCTCGTTCGCCATCCTCTCCTCCAGCCCCTCCTGCTCCTATGCCCTCTTCGCCCTCGCACTCTCCTCCTGCTCCTGGCCTCCCGAGCAGCTCCTGCCGCTGCCGACGCCTCTCCAGACCATCCTCCGCCTCCTGCTTCTCCAGCCGCGATGCCTCCTGCTGGCCCTGCTGCTCATGCTGCTGCTGCTGCCTCCTGGTGCTCTGTGGCTCATGCTACCCCTTCTACTCCTCCTCCTGCTCCTGCCTCGTCCTATTTGTCGCTCGTCTGGAGGCTCCTTCTCCTCGTGTTCCTCCCCCTTCCTGCCTCCTTCCTGGTCGTCTTCCTCCGCCTCTTCCTTCAACCTCCCCCTAGTCCTTCTCCTCAGAGAGCCTTGCGACTGAAGCAGGCTGATGGCAGGTCACTTGGGGCATTCTGAAGAGGAGATGCAGGGGGAAGGGACCAAGACGGGAGAGGAACGGACGGAACAACAACAGGAGGAGGAGGAGGAGGAGGTGGCGGAGGAGGAGGACGAGGAGGAGGAGGAAGAGGAGAAGAAAGGCGAGGAGGACGGAGAGGGCAAGGGCGAGGAAGATCGGGAAAACAGGTGGGTAGGGCGAGGGAAGAAGCAGGATGGTGACGAGCGAGGGTCGGGATGAGGGGGGGAGAAAGATGTGGATGACGGGGAGTAGGACGAGGACAGGTCCAGGACGACTACGCACAAGGATGAAAAGTACGAAGAGGAAGGAGGAGGAGGACCCAAATAAACCTAAGATGCGTCAACGATGCTGCAATACACCCTCCCGTTCCAAGCCCGCCTCCTCAGCCAGTTGCGGTGTGCGGACGTGAAGGATTTCGAGTGCACCGCGGCGGCACCTCTGGATGTGCGCGACGCATGGCACGGCTTATCGCAAGCGCCAACCGAATGGAAGGCGCGCGGCACTGGCGCTTGCCGCGCGAAAAGAGCGGTAAAACAAGGCTAGGATCGGGATAAATCGCTCCAGAGCGTTCTGGAGCGCTCTCAGAGCGTTCCGGAACGCTCTGGAGCGGCCGCGGCGCCCAATACATCCTCCAAACCCGCCGATTCTCAGAGATTTCGAGTTATCCCGATCCGATTTTGTCCCGATCTTCGCGTCGTTTTACAAAAAGCGCGGGCCACCGCGCGGCAGGCCGCGATCGATCCCGGAGCGCCAACCGGGACCGACGAGCGGCGACGCGCCACGTCGAAATGGCTTTGGCGCGCGTCGGAGAACTCCGGCGCGCAGCACCAGCGGAGCCTGGCCCGGTGGCGACCATCACCGGGCTCGGTTACGCTCTCGCCGTCGTCGACGGCGGCACGCGCGATCCATGTTGGCGGCGCGCACAAGGGGGTGGGGGGAGGGGGGAGGGCTTCTTAGAAGGAGGCTGCTTCTTAGAAGGCGCCGGCCTTACATCTATAGAGAAGGCCCGCGCCTTCTAAGAAGCAGGGGTGCTTCTAAGAAGCCCTCCCCCCTACCCCTACCACCCTCTGCGCGTGGCTGACCATGGCTTGAGACGGCGAAGCTGCATGCCATCTTGCGGCCGTCCTCCCGGTCGCTCCCGGGAGTTCGCAGCGGGCTGTGGTGCTGGCAATCCTTTTGCACAGGGGTCTTGCGTCGCCCGCACATAATTAGCACTTCCCCCCCGCCGCCGCGGAATCGGCAGCGTGGTCGACCGTTGTCCGGTGCAAGGGAGCGTTCGACAACTACGTGTCCTACGTTCGCGTCGGGTGCCTCCTCGTGGGAGCGGACGTCCGTGTCTTCGACGATCCCATCGCTCGCAGGGCAAAGGCGGCGGTTCGGTCCAGGGGCGACTTCGTGGCTCGCCCGAAGCTCTTTATCGGGCTGACCGTCCGCGTTCGTCGAGCAAGGCGAGCGCGTGGAACGCCTTCGTCCGTTCGCCATGCTATATCCGTTCGCGTACACTTTCTTGCCCCGCGTACTGTGTGAGGCCTTGCCCGGGGTCCGCGTCGCCTCGCCTGAGGCCCCGCCCGGGGCCCAATCCGCCGTCTTACTTGGGGGGGTCCGGACTCACACTGCTCGTGGCACGGCGCAAGAATCGGCCAAGGGGGAGCGTCCTGCATCGGCGGTGCTGGTGTTCAAAACAGCCCGCGACGTGCCCAGTACACCGCTTAGGCCCCTTCTTCGCCAGTTTCGCGCCCGGGGTCTCGGTGTTCGACGGCACTGACTCTGGGGGCGCGCTCGTGCAGCTTCGGAACATGGCTGCAGCACTCGGAATATCAGAGGCGAGCAGACTCCGCACGCACGACTTGCGGCGTGGTCATGCGAGGGACTTGGCGCAGAGCGGTGCCCCGCTCAACGCAATGTTGCGCGCGGGCGAATGGAGGCGCGAACTGGGCCGGCGCGCAGCGCCCGAAGCGCATGCGCGGCGGCGCGACCAGGTCAAGCGCCTCCCTAGTGTACCTAGACAAAGAGGAATGAGAAAGGGACGCCGTCAGTCAGGCGGCCCACGAGCCGCATCCCCTCAGCACGAGCGCTCCTCACGCCGAGAGGCGCACATGGATGAATCAGATAATGGCAGCGAGCCCGAATAGTTCGGCCACGACGGCACAGCAGTCGCCCACAGGGCTCGACTGACGGCTTGCGCCGTCCCGAGCCTGTCCCCAAGGCTGCGTGCGGCGAGCACCGTCGCTTGTCGAAGTGTGGGGGGCGCCAGCCCCGCCGCAGCGCAGCCTTCGCATCGCCCGTGTTGCATTGGGTCGTTGTGCCCGGGCAGCTGCTCGGCTGCGCAGCGGCGCGCGACGACGGAAGTCGCGCGCGGCGTGCGCCGAGCTCGCCCAGCACCCATCGTTGGGGTGCAGCGGCCAGGGCTGGCGAGCCTGTGGCAGCGCCATTTGTGACTCCTGTTCTGCATTGGAGGAGGAGGAGGAGGAGGAGGAGGAGGAGGAGGAGGAGGAGGAGGAGGAGGAGGAGGAGGAGGAGGAGGAGGAGCGAACGTCTACTGGCGGACGTCTGCTTCAGCTCTACGGGCGGCGGGTGGGGGCACGGAGCGCCGCCCGCGGCACGTCTGTAGTGTGATGTGGCCGCAGAGGCGCGGCGGCAGAGCAGCGCTGGCCAGCGCCGCCCGGAGGAGAGGAGGAGGAGGAGGAGGGAGGAGGAGGAGAGGAAGGAGGAGGAGGAGGAGGAGGAGGGAGGAGGGGGGGGCCTGTCTGCTGGGGCCTAGTCCCTCCCCCTGCGCCGCTCCAGCCTCTCAGCCTCTCCTCCTCGCCTTTCCCCTCCCCCTTGTCCTCCTCGCCTCTCCCCCCCCTCTCCTCCTCCTCCTCCTCCTCCTCCTCCTCCTCCTCCTCCTCCTCCTCCTCCTCCTCCTCCTCCTCCTCCTCCTCCTCCTCCTCCTCCTCCTCCTCCTCCTCCTCCTCCTCCTCCTCCTCTCCTCCTCCTCCGGGCCCCTTCCCTCTCCTCCTCGCCTCCCTCCCAGACCCCGAATGCCCCCATTGCTCCAGCGCGCTGGGCTCCAGAGCTCTCGGCATGCCTGCGGCCTTCACGTCGAGGGCCGTCCTCGCGTGGGCCCCAAGATGGTGCCCTCGGGGCCCGAACTCCAAGGAACTTTGGCCGCCAACACATTGTCAGACAACGGAGGCCTAATTCCTCCTCCTCCTCCCCCCCTCTCTACCTCCTGTCAACCTCCCCCCTCACTATTCCGCCTCTTCCGCCTCCTCCTCGTGCCCTCTCTTCCTCCGGCCTCCTCTCCTCCTCCTCCTCCTCCTCCTCCTCCTCCTCCTCCTCCTCCTCCTCCTCATCATCAGTTTCCTTGCTCTTCTTCTTCTTCTTCGTCTTCTCCTCCTCCTCCGATCAACGGCGACGACGACACTTGAAATCTCGTCCCCTTCCCCAGGGGGCATGTTTGCAACCCGGACAAGCTGTTGTCCCGGGACACCGAATTTGTGGTACGACTTCGCCAGCAGGCCGAGTTTTGGGAAACCGCGAGACCGATCGGTCCATCCTCGATCGAGCGACGACGATGACGACTGCGAGGTCCTTCAGAAGCCAGAAGAACACCCCCGCTGCTTCGAGCCTTGGGGGCGGCCGCGCAGGGGACGGGGGGAGGAGGAACGGACCCCGAAAACGCTCAGCACCCATGCAGTGACGCAGCCTCGCTGCGATGCGGAGCTGCAGCAGCAGTCGCCGCGCCTCTTGGGGAGCGGCCGCCAGCGCCCCCGACCTCCCTCGGCGCGCCCCTCTCCTGGCGCCGTCGGCCGTGCCCGAGGAGCTCTCATCGGCGGGGCTGCCTCGTGTCTTCCGTGGGTCCCAGGTCCCTGCGGTGACAGACCGCGCGCTGACCTCGGATCGGGGCTCTACTTGGAGGGCAGAAGATCCACCCCGTAATAATCACCCCCACGCGCGCTGTCGTTTAGTAAACGCACCCCAAAAAAGGAATCGAACAGGGCAGGGCCGTTTAATAAAAGCCCAGGGCCGTTTAGTGAACGCCAAGTGTCGGGTCCGGGTGGCTACTGCCCCGGGTCAATCCAGACCTGGGTCAGTTAGGCTTGACAGGATCCTGCGCCCAAGCCAGGGTCAATACTACCCTGGCTCTGCAGGATCCTGCAAGATCCAGCGCTCTGGCTGACCCCCGACGTCATGATTTTTGTCATAACGCCGACCCTCAGAAGTCTTGACCCATTCCCCTGGACCGGTTTCTCATCCTGAATCGCTGTTTGACGGTTCCGAGGGAGAGTGAGGGCCTCCAGAGGCCGAGAATACGGAAAACCCCCCGAAATGTTTTTTTCATTATCCGAGGGGGTCTGTGTCTGGCTCCCATTTTGCATCGATCGGCTACACGCAAGAGTGACCCTGGGTAAGAGTGACCTTTGGTGCGCGGCTTTTTGGGGGCCGCGGGGGGACCTGACCTGGGCGCGCAAGCCGCTGCTATCGCTTCGTTTTCAGCCATCTGGGGACCCATCTCTGCCCGCACCAAAGGTCACTCCGGCGAAAGGTCACTCTTGCGTCTAGTCGAACCGACCCCCTGCCCCTCACAGCTTCATATCGGAACCCCGAGAGACCTCACCGGCCCGCCTCGGAGCAGGGCGGCCCGAGGCACTGGGAGTTCCCAAGCGGCTCCTCGGACCCCTCCCGGGCCCCAACGCACCGGCTTCCCGCGCCGCGGCCCGCCGTGGCGACGAGGGGCTCCCCGGAGGCCACAACTGCCAGCGTTAAGTCGGGCGTGTCCCCCTACGGGGTGATTTTCGACGAAACATAAAAAAATACCCCCAAAAACATATTCCAAAATGGTCAAAAAATGCTAAAAAATAGTCCCCAAACTATGTTTTGGCTATGTTTGGGTTGTCGACTGGGCCCCGCCCCGTCCGAGGCTCCTCTCTGACCAGCCCCAGGGGCCCGGCAGCGCCCCGCCCCCGAGGGCTGTGGAGAAGCCGCCCCGACGGAGGCCTCCCCGGCGACGCCTGGCGCTCGAGCCTGCCGCCTCGTGCGCCTCGCCGGTATCCGGTGCGCGCTCGGGCCTGCGGACGGGATCGTCTGAAGAGGCCCCAGGGACACACAAATAAATACACACAAATCAAAATATTCCCAATATGTTACCAGATTTTTTGGGGGGGTTCGTCTTCCCCCCCACTGCCCATCTTTTCCTATCTTTTCGGTGGAATCGACGATTCATTGTGTCTGTGTGTTTTTTCCCTCCAGATCTTCCACGCGGCGCCCCGCGGCGGCGGCCCCGACGACACGCTATGCTCTGCCCTGCGAGCGTACAGCGCTTTGGGTGTCAAAAGCAGGAGTTGCTCTCGTCGCCATCTCTTCGTGGCGAGGGGAGGAGGAGGAGGAGGAGGAGGAGGAGGAGGAGGAGGAGGAGGAGGAGGAGGAGGAGGAGGAGGAGGAGGAGGAGGAGGAGGAGGAGGAGGTAGAGGAGGAGGAGGAGGAGGAGGAGGAGGAGGAGGAGGAGGAGGAGGAGGGCGCTGATCCGCTTCGCCGGGCGGGGGGCGGGGGGCTGGGAACAGCTCGGGGCGCTGACGCCTGCCGACTCGGACGTGGCTGGCGTGTCGCGCCAGAGCATGGTGGGCCGGGACTGACAGCGCGACGCGCTAACCGAACCCTCTCCGCCCCATGGGCCTTCCCGCCTCCTTGCCCTTCGCCTTCTCCCTCCTCCTCCTCCTCCTCCTCCTCCTCCTCCTCCTCCTCCTGCCGGCCTCCAACATCTTGAGACAATCAGGATGAAGGAAGGCTTATGCAACAACGGTGCAGGACGCAGGCCCAGTCCCTGGGAAAGGGGTCGATAGCTCCGAGGCCCATGCATTTCGAGGCCACACTCTCGGAAGCCTGGGTCCTCCTCCTGCGAATGTTTTCGGATGTGTTCGCTGGCTTCGAAATTTGTGCCTGCCCTGTTGAAGCCTCAAGTAACTATCGGAAATCTCTGGGGATCTGCAGGTTTGGCCCGAGGGCTCGAAAGAACTCGGCAGGTCCATGTGCCCATGTTGGCCTCCTCCTTTTCCCATCCCTGTCCTCGGCGTTCTCCTTTCATACTCCGTCGAATCAAGTAGATGAGCTGTCCTGGTTCGCTCATCCACGTGCAGCTTCGATTGCCACAGGTGACCGAGCGTCAACAATGCGTGCTGCCACTCCCCACTCTGTTCGCATGCGCAGGCTGCAGCACTATAGCTGAATACATCCAACTCGATCTCGGCCTCCCACAACTTTCCTAGCAACGACAACGCGCGCTGCCATTCCGCACTTTTCTCGCACGACCTGATTGCAACTCTGTAGGAGATGGCGTCAGGCCGCAATTTCACAGATGTTGCTTCCTGCATGCTGCCGAACAACATCAACACATGCTGCCACGAACCGGCTTTTTCGCAAGCACTGATTCCAGCATTATAGCTGATGACGCTTGGACTCAACTTCGCAGTGCGCAGCTCTCTGATCAACGACAATGCGCGCTGCCACTGGCCACCTTTCCGGATAGCTATCCTTAGTCGTGAATTTCTTGCGGCCCCTACAGACGGGATAGGAGCGATCTGCGTTCGAAACTCTCAAACCGAGAAGCCCGCGGCTGGAGCCGATTTTGTTTCGACAGTGGCCTGTTTTGCGCAAACTGCGGCTCTGCAGACGCGCTCGCGACCGCCAGCGCTGCTGATGAAAAATGCACAACTCGGACTCGATTGGAGCGGACACGCGAGATGGCACAAGACCCTTCCGAGGGCCACGTTGCCACAGAAATGCAGGAGGCACGGGTCGCAAGACACAGGACACGAGGGT